CACATCGCTTCAACAACTAGAGCAATTTGGTTGAAATAAAATTACCCCAAGCACGACCAATCAGAAATGCTGTTCCTCTGCTGTCATTTCGCGGGGAAACCAGGGGTGTCGTCGCCAAATGTCGGCTTTTTTTGTAATTAATCTCATCTCTGCTAAGGATCATAAACTTTTAAATGTTATAAATACCTCACGCTGGAATAAGGCGTCTTTGCAAGGGTCTGATAACTCTCTTCTATGATCCCTAAGACACTCCAGTACCTAAAAGAAAGCAGACGGATGTGTTGGAGTTAAACGCCATGATCAACTTCAACTTCAACTTAATTGCGTGAAAACAGTCATGGACAATGAATAAATCATGCTGCCCTCAAAATTCCTCTTTCCACAAGTTTAAAAGTTATATAAACACTTCTGACAAGAGAGTTGAGAAGCAAATCAAATTCCTAAAAATCGTTGGAACTCCTCTATGTAATCAAGTCTTAATAATTTTTACTTCAGTGCTGCCGTCCTACAGATATTCACAAAAAAGGAAAATTCATTACGCATTTCAATAGTGCACAAGTAACAGTCGTGCACGTCGCTGCAAGCACTGAACTCGATGGATTTAACAGAAAACCAAGGACTTAATTTGCCATAATTCATAACAACAAAGGAAATTCTTTACACATGCAATAGTGCAAAATTATCAGCTGCATCGCAATGCATCAAAGATGGGTGCCTTGTTAGGACGCAACCCTACCAGTATGCAGTATATACAGGGATGTTACATAATTAAAGGACTTCATGTGTCCTCCTCCAGACCTACGACATAATAGCTTCAAGTTCTTTCATGGTGTCTGAATTCTCCTCTGTCAGACACTCACGACGTGATGCTCACTTCACAGTTGTGGTAGCCAGTTTCACGCGCTCAGATACTTAAGGGCGTCCCAAATTGTATACTAGAGTGAGAGCGCGAAAAATAAAACGAAACGAAACGAAAACTGGAAAGAGAGTCTGAGGGCGCTTTCCATTTGTCAGAACTGACCGGCCAGACCATTCCCGTTGTAATGAGAATTTCACTTCTAATCAAAACTATCCAGCCAGGTCAGTCAAATCCTAAACAGTATGCACGAAGGAGATGGTTTTTCACCAAAGACCCTTTGGAAAAAGCTGATTTTATTTGCTTACTGACTGGTCCGGTAATGGTCCGGCCAGCCAATTCTGACAAATGGAAAGCGCCCTGAGTAGGACATATCCTGTTTTCACACATACGATTTGGGACATAACCTGCGATGGGCCTACCTTGAGATTCGCTACTTTAAAAACGAGAAAGGATCTGGTGCCGCAATGTGTCCCGCAATAGACCTTATTCACGATGTCCGCCATCTTTGCTTGCGCTCTGGGATCGAAGGGATAAAAGCTATGTCACGTGGTATTTCAAGGGGCAAACAAGTGATAAAATTTGCCAGTAGAGTGTTTTCACTCACGTGGCCAGCATCTATGCAACTAGTTTATTGGAACAAAAGAACGCGTTAACGCCTGCGTCGCAAGTGGAGGTTGGGTGCCCATGGGCCAGGGGGCTGCAACCGCAATACACCCCAAGGCGGAAGAACACCCACAGGCCTACCAACCCGCAACCCAGCCACGAAACCCCCCGCGCCCAGCCCCCCACTATAGCACCCGTCACACTGAGGCCAGAAGCCCAGTGGAAGTAAAATGAACCAACCCCTGAAAAATAAATAACTAAATAAATAAGAAAGAAAGCGGAGGGAGGGAGGGGAACCAAGAGAAACGCTACGCTACTGGAACGCCACGCCACGCTAACAAAGCCTCGAGTACAACGCAAACACAACGTAGGCACGTGGCCTCCGCATGCGCCAAAGCGACATACCGCTGGACAGGAATCTGCCCTCCAGCTCATGAACAATGGTAAACGCTACAAAAGCAAACACAGTCACGCACAACGCTACAGATGACCAACGCACTGCCAAAGAATGCCAAAAACACCCGAGACCATAGCTCCTGGTCGTTAACTACATTAAATATGATTTAATAGTATTTAACGCCTGCGTCGCAAGTGGAGGTTGGGTGCCCATGGGCCAGGGGGGTACAACCGCAATACACCCCAGGGCGGAAGAACACCCACAGGCCTACCAACCCGCAACCCAGCCACGAGCCCCCCCGCGCCAAGCCGAAGGGACCTCCGGGTAGGAAACCAGGAGCAAGGGGGCTCGGGGCAGCAGAGCCCCAGGCCCCGAGGGTCCAAACCTGAGGCACCCACCCCCACGGCAGCCCCAAAGGTAGTACAGATACCTGCTATGCAGCCAGCTGTCTGGATACGTGGACGATGGAGCTAACTGGAGTGCGAATATACATCTGGTAGGCATCACTAGACCACCGGCCTAGGGTCTTGATCAGATGATCCGGAACTCCCCGAGCAGCAGCTGTAGTTGCCGCCCCAATACGGAAGCTATGGCCTGAATAAGAGCCAGTATAGCCAGCTGAGTGCAAGATAGACTGAACTGTGGATGACAATTGTTGCCGAGTAAGAGGGCGACCGTCACTAAAAGTAAAGAGAGGACCCTCAGAAGAGCCACGCAGAGCCAAGAAGTTGCCCAAAGCACGGATGGGACACACCAGGCCCTCACCACGCCCCACATATATATCACAGCCCATGTGAAACGGATCAGTCTTAGAGCACTTGATGTGAACTTTAAAACAGGTAGGATTCACCAGGGAATCAGCTTGCAGGTCAGCAACAGTCATATGGATACTAGGCTGAAATGCAGAATTCACCGTGAACTCCCCAGCTCGCAAGAAACCGAAGAAACCCAAACAGCATGCCGCCCACAGCATCACATGGTCTCTCCTGGAGAAGTCCAGACGATGTTGAATCGCCCGCAGATGATCCAGGGTGATAGGCAGGCGCCGGGATGATACTGGACCTTGAACCCGCTTAATTCCCCTGAGTAAACGCTGCAAACGAAGGCAGTTGACGAAAGGGTCTGACAAGCCATGGTCAATGTGAAGGGAACGTACTGCTGACAGGTATACTTTTATAGATGCGTGGGTCAAGTTGTCGGCCAAGAGTGAAGCAAAGCGCATGAGAGTCTCCTCATCGGCAGGAGGGAAGGAGCCATCGCTGTTAAGGCGACCATCCCGACGGCAAAATTAATATAGCGACGCTGAGCAGAGAGATAAACACGCCGAGAGGAGGGCGCGAGTCCCTGGGAGAGCAGAAACTGACACCTCTGTGTCAACACGTCTGGAGTGCGGCCAGCAGCGACTCGGGAATTATACAGGGAGTCAGGTCGGCTTGAGGTGCCAGACGACGAAAACGCTGAAATTGAAAGCGTGAGAGGGAGTCAGCTACTGGATTGGCCAAGCCGCGACCTGAAGACGCGGTAAACATAAATGAGTGGCGTATAGCCAGCAAGGATAAATGACGCAGCAGCCCCATCAAGAGGTGGTCCCGTGAAGTGCCAGACTTAAGTACAGCCACCACTGACTCATTGTTGCACAGGAACTCGACCCGCCGAGAGCCCCACTGAGAACCCCGTAAGGCGGCGGCTACAACGATGGGGAAGAGCTCCTTGTACGCAATCGATAACGACCGTTGCTTCATAGACCAAGCGCCGCAAAACCACTTGGTGTTAAAAATAGCCCCATAGCCCAGTGACCCTGCAGCATCCGACGAGACTTGGAAATCCGGGACGGGCGCCCACGTGGGAATGCAAAAGAAACTGAGGCCATCCCAGGTTTGAAAAAGCTCCCGCCACCAGGTAAGGTCCCGACGGAATTCTTGGTTTAGCCTGATGGGGTGATCGTCCAGGCGGAAGGCACAAAGCAAGTCAATCATCCGACGAAGAAAAGTCCTCCCTTGTGGGGCAACCTTGCAGGCGTGATGGAGGTGGCCAATCAAAGATTCCAACTCCCGCCTCTTACAGAAACGCTTGGTGGACCACTCTTCAAGTAAGGCAACAATCCGGTCTCTTTTCTCAGTGGGCAGGCGAGCCTCAAGCCTATCGGAGTCGAGTTCAATCCCGAGGATAGTTAAGCAAGTCGTCGGTCCCTCTACCTTGTCAGGATGAAGGGGGAGACCAAGCCTTTCGCAAAGGCGAACACAGGTAAGTAAATAGAAGTGGCAGAGCGGGGATGACGGTGGACCAAGGGTAAAAAAGTCATCCAGGTAGTGGCGTAGGAAGTCCACACCATAATTATGAACCAAGATCCATTCAACCTGGTCCGCAATAGAAGTGAAAATAAATGGCGCTGAACGCAACCCAAACGGGAGAACCAGATCGACAAAGTACTTCCCACGCCACTGCATCCCCAGCAAGGGGCGATCGTCGGGATGGATAGCCACATTCCGGTATGCACTGGCCACATCAAACTTAGCCATTAGTGTTCCGCGACCCCACGCCATGATGCCCTCAATAACTGCATCGACTGAAACGTACTGCACTGTGAAGGGAGGCTTGGGAATGCCATCGTTCACGCTGTGCCCAACAGGAGAGGAGAGGTCAAGGATGAGACGCCATTTGCCCGGTTGATTGTTCTTGGGAATGACCCCAAAGCGGCTGATGTGTAGAGAAGGAAAAGGAGGGGCTGAAAAGGGGCCAGCCACCCTGCCGGAGGAAACTTCGGTCTGCAAGTAGGAGTCTATCACAAATGGGTGCTCGAAGGAGGAACGCATGTTCGAAGAAGCGGACTTAAGATTGACCATGGACTCAAAGCCAATACGAAAACCCTCACGTAATCCGGACAACACATAGGCCACTGCTGCCTGGTCAGGATGAAGCTGCAGCTCTGTCTGAAAGTGAGCCAACCGTAATGGAGAGACCTGGGAGGCTGGAGCTAATGGCGAGAAAGAATGAACAGAAACTGCAACGCTGGGTATACTAACTGGAACTGTAACAGAACAAGACGGCTTCACAGAGGAACGCAGATCACGCTGCCCCCCTGACGACGCAACAGAACTACTTACACTATGAACACAAGCCTCACCGGGTAAAACTGCCCATTCAGTACCGTCCCCCTCTCCCCCCGGGTTGGGGAGATCGGGATCGTGCGCTAGAGGAGTTGGGAAATGGACAATTGATCTGGGTGTGTTCACCCTCACAGTTACTGCAGCGGTGTCGATATTTGCACCTACCAAAGGGCCAGCGGCACTGCCCGTAATTCCATGAATGGCAAAAAGGAGAGACCAGGCTGGTGTCACGGGAGGCGGCAGGAAGTGAAGCTGATGCCGTGGAAGAAGACGACCGAGGTGGCGGGGGTGAGGCCATGGCTGAAGACCTTAAGTGAAAGTTGTATAGGTCTGAGTTCATCCTTGACCAGTCACTGAGGCCAGAGGCAGCCGCATCCTTTCTGAACGCCAGGTCATACTCTAACCAAGCTGAACTAGAAAAATGACGAGCCGTTTGAATGATAAGCAGCTTATACTTGGAGAGATCGGGCCAACGATGAGGGTGAGCTGCACACAGCACCATCTGAAAAATAGTGAAGGCTTCCGTCCAAGTCAAAATGTCTTTTATTTCCACTTGCCTGCGTTTTGACGAGGACACCACGAGCTTACCATCGAGGAACGTTTGCGGCTCCTGCTCCACGGCGCGAAGGTTCACGGACAACAAATCTGCTAATTCGACAAACTGGCCGCCTACAATTTTTGACACTAGTTTTGAGGGAATAGGGGCATGCCCCGGACCAACGATAAAAGCCTTCTCAGACTTGGGAGATGCCAACGAAGACTCAAGGCTTGGAAGACCGCTAGTAACGCCGGGCGATACGAAAGTGGAGGGAGTAGGAGCCGCGGGGCGGGCCGAGCTCGAGACGGTAATAGCCGGCACTGGCGTAAACGTAGGAACAAACGCGGGAAGGGTAAACGTACCTGAAGCCACCGAAGAAACACCGTCACCTGTACTTGCACTCGAAGCGGACGCTGAAGAAAATAAAGGTTGTGGAGCCCGGCTAGCAGAAACGCCTGGAACCGAAGAAGAAGCCTGCGAGGAGGCGTTTCTCTGGATCGATGAAATAATGGCGGGAATGGAGTTTCCGATTGCCCGAACCACAGCCTCGGTGAGGGAGTCAGCCAACTGAGGCGACCAAGAGCTAGAAGCCGTACTCGACACAGGACTTTCAGACGTTGCCGTAGATGGAAGGGGGTCTTCGGTAGGAAGGCCCGCCGATAAGCCGTTGTTGGTCGAACGAGATGGGCGCGGCATTACAGAGGACAACCAAAAACTCCCCAGCAGAGGACGAACCACAACAGGAAAAACGACGAATCACGGCAACGAAAACCACTTCGACCGGAAAAAACTTTGAAAGAATCAAGAGAAAAAGCTATGCTAATCGAACTGAGAAACCAAGCTAACCACAACTAGGGCAGAACCAAGAGAAACGCTACGCTACTGGAACGCCACGCTACGCCGCGCTAACAAAGCTTCGAGTACAACGCAAATACAACGTAGGCACGTGGCCTCCGCATGCGCCAAAGCGACATACCGCTGGACAGGAATCTGCCCTCCAGCTCATGAACAATGGTAAACGCTACAAACGCAAACACAGTCACGCACAACGCTACAGATGACCAACGCACTACCAAAGAATGCCAAAAACACCCGAGACCATAGCTCCTGGTCGTTAACTACATTAAATATGATTTAATAGTATTTAACATAAGAAAAGAGTTCAACTCCCACAGGACTGGTTTGGGACACAAACATGGCCGCCGCCTCATTGTTTTGGGACACAAATATGGCCGCCATGACGTCAAGTGAAAACACTCAATGGTCGAGTTTGCTTGTTCTATCAAAACGAGACAAGGACTTCATAGTCATGCAAAACGCACATATTGAGTTTTCGCAAGATTTACGTCATCACTGTTGCCATGAGGACATCTAAGGTCACTACTGCATACAAAAAAGTAACAATGATCACTTCCACCGATATTTTGACATTATCGTCTTTAAAATGAAAAGGTCTTCATTTCCCGTTGTCTGGAATAAACAAACTCAACCGCCATTTCTTCCACTGGCAATTTTTTTCACTTGTTTGCCCCGTGAGGAACCACGTGACATTGCTTTTATCCCATCAGTCCCTGAGCGCGTGCAAAGACGGCGGGCATCGTGAATAAGGTCTACTGTTCCTGGGATTGTTAAGGAGGTGGGGGGTACCGGTCAGCCGTTGCGCGGTTATCAGTAGGTAAAATCGGCTGAAGCCAGATTGTTTCTTTCAGTAAAATTACATGAAGAACAATTCACGTCCAACGCTACTGTGTAACATAAAATAAGATAGAAAAACTCCACTGTAATGCTTTGAACCCAGCCTACATCTATATCTACTACACCCTGGGGACCAGCTGTCAAATCCAGTAATTTTAAAAATATGCATGTACTCATGCCGTATCCCATTACAATTTTTGAAAGCTAACCGTTTTCGGTTCAGTGCTTAACCCTAGTCACTGCAGATCGGTGCTAACTTTCTACTATGTTTTCTCCATAACTGGCGATATGTAGTTTTGCTTTACAAGGTTAGAAGGATTCAACCTCGTTCTTGCTCGTGCGATCATTGGGTGAACGGTGAAAACAAACCAGACAAAAAATTGTGAGAGAAAGGACTCCTTCCTTAGAATTAATTCTGTTCTGAGGCCATGTGACCAGACCCAAACAAACTCTCGACAGGTAGGAGAGAGAACCTGGGAACGAGGTTGAGTGGGGTTCTGTTCCAATCTCGTTACGTTAGGAGAATAATGCGTTGTGTAAAACTCTGGCTTCACCTGATGTTATCTAATGCTAACTCCACTGCCCCAGTAGTGACAGTCCTTGCCAAATACTTGGCGAAAGTAAACTCGAGCCAATCACTGTCTCCTCGCTTCTAAAGTGGCGAATGTACTGTTATCCCTTCGTCCTTTGCGACAATGTGCGGATTTTGTTGGTAAATGGCTTGGTTCATGTCCACCTCCCCACTATTAATTTTGAGCTTCTCTCTCTATTCGGCACCCTCCTCACTACAGTGTTGTACCATTTATCAGAAACAGCTTTCTAAAAATTTCCAGGCTTCAGATTGATTTTTTCAGGATTCCATAATTAAATTAACCTTGTCACTCTCAGAAGTGACAAATAATTTATTTCTGCTTAAAGTTCCAACTTACTAAACCCCTGCTGTAAGCCATAATTCTCATCGAACTATCTTACCTCTCCTTTCTCAACCCTTTCACTACAGTGTTTTCCAAGATCCTGAACACAGGCAATCTGTATCTCAGGCATAAGATGAACATCGACAGCCCTCTGGTGCATCACTCGTTGAACATGAGCGGCACACTTAGGTGAAACCTAGGTGAAATATAAATCAATACTCATCTGTAAAACACTTATAATGAAATAAAAACATTAACTAGCAATAATCGAGGATCAGAAAACTTGTGCGTTGCGAAGGGGAGACGTTTGTACGATTCAGAGAACGACGGCGCGCGCAATTCAAACAACTGGTTTGACCAATGGCAGAGCAACAAATTGGGCACCAGAAGTCGCGTTTAGTTCTTTCCGCGAGCTTTCCCGTCGTCAACTGACGTTCCCGTTCGGTTGCTACATCAGCCTATTAAGGAAACAGTTTCGACAAAGCCACGTTCTTTGTTTTTATCGAGACCGTCGTATCAGCGCAGTATCTTCAATGCTTTTGTAGCTGTTTTAATAAATATAACCTGAGTGAAATCTAAGAACTTTCTAAGCATTAAAAAATGAAGTTAAAGATTTTTATTCCCTTAATGAGCTGAATACAACACAACAGGTTTTCACAACACCAAGAAACTTCAAAAATAATTGTTTTCTGTTGGTGCTAGCGAAAAATGTGAGAATTTAAAAGGAGATCAAAAGACGAGAAGACGATATTTGTCCACAAAAACATCCAAAAAGAGAACTTGACCAATATCTGGCCATCCTGAGCTCTCGCTTGCCCATGAACTCACATTATTTTTTCATTAGACAGTATGGACTGTTCTAATATTAACACACATGTGTGTCAATGTTGCGTCTGTATTAAGGAGGTTTGACTTTACCTTGGTTTGCGTGTCCAGAACAGAATTCCTGTAAAGACAAGATATCAGTAAGCTGTTGGGATATGACTCCTGGTCATCTAATGAAGAAGCACCACAAACTGTTTTGGCATCGTCTTTGCAAAGTCTTTTTATTTCTGGATCAAGCCTAAAACACAGAAAAAAGCTTATTCAGCACAATTTTATAGTCTGCAAATTAATTCCATTATATTATTGCAAACATTTTAAACAACACCATAACCTACAAGCACAACTACCCTGCAAAAAGTTTCAAGGGTTCCTCTTTTCTCAACAGCTACTTAACGTAGATCAATGATGAAAGATGCAAATAGTTTATCACAAAAAAAAAAAAAAAAAAAAAAAAGCAAGAAAGGGATCACTATACGTTTCTGGGAAACTGCCCACCTACCCCTCCCCTAAGCCAACATTTTGCCCTAAGTGAGAAGAAAGTGTTAATGTTGGCTTAGGGGAGGGGTAGGTGGGCAGTTTCCCAGAAACGTATAATGATCCGAAAGGAGTAAGACATTGCACATGAATCTCAGGATTTCTATTTACTGTTCCCTTTTGCACCCTCTGTTCTGCCCTGGCGTCTGCCTTGTCATAATTAGTTCATCAACCAATGCAAACCAAAGACGATTTCAATACGTAATGAACGTCTGTACAACTTAATCCTATTTTACTTTTTTAACAACTCTGGTAGAAACGTATTTACAAAACCAAAAGTTAAAAAATACATATGATAATTTCATTTTGTTATCCTTCGTTTTTAGTTCCCGGATGGATGCCCACTGCATTATTCAGATACGTCTTACAATCATATGACAAACCTATACCATATGATCCAAAGCTCAAAACCTCATATGCTCTTACTTGAAGTCTCTTGCAATAAAGAATTCCAGATGCAACAGTTGTTCCTCACACTCGGGAATCATGTTGTCAGTGTGAAGATTTTCCATGAGGCACGAAAGAACCCTGTTGAATGGAGACAAGATCTTCTTACTATTTTCATATCATGTTATACACTGCAATCTCGCTAATAAGCCTGATAGGGGCTTAATTTTAAATCAATTTGAGGATAGAGGGCTTAGTGGAGGAAGGGGCGGGGGGAGGGGGTATTAGAAACTGGCCAAGTAACCCTTTGTAACTCAATTCATTTCATAAAGGGTATTACTGACCCAGTGAAGGATATATACAGTGCGTAGGAAACTCAGTATCTTACACCGAAGTTTGTGTGCAACCTGCAGATAATCACTTACACTTTAAACATTTTGAGTGTTAGAAAGGGAAGGGGTAATGAAAAATAGCAGGCTTATCGAGTCATTTCCGGGTAAATCTCAGTAAGCATAAGCAGAACACCATTAAAATTTAGAATTCGAAAAATTATTTTTTACAAACAACAAGAAAGACGACGAGAGTAAAAACAGGTATAAGACTTCACAAACATCACAAAATACCCTATGTAGGTAATGTTTTCAATATATTTAAAGCTGAACTCTTCATCTTCACTCTATGTTTCATTCCTTTCATGGGTTAATATGAACTCTACAGGGGTACAGTGCAATTCCGATGGTCCATTGTACCATTGGTACCAATATAAAATGGTGTCATTCCAATCGTTCTACTGGTGAATATGCATCTCATTAAGGGGACTTAGATTATTTTCTCACGTGGTCTAGCTGAGTATAGGGCAATTCCTATGGTCCATTGGTACCAATAGAAAATGATGTCATTCCAATGGTCCTACTGGTGAATATGCATCTCATTAAGGGCACTTACATTATTTTCTCATGTGGTCTGGCTGGGTACAGGGCAATTCCAATGGTCCATTGGTACCAATGGTTCGACTGGTACCCCTGGAAAATGATGCCATTCCAATGGTTCTACTGGTGAATATGCATCTCATTAAGGGCACTTACATTATTTTCTCATGTGGTCTGGCTGGGTACAGGGCAATTCCAACGGTCCATTGGTACCAATGGTTCGATTGGTACCAATAGAAAATGGTGTCATGGCCTGGGCTATTGACTCAGAGGCCATGAGGGCTTATAGAACGAGGAATATTCATAATAACTATTAGTGCGTTTCTACTTTGTGTGAGAGCGAAATTGTTTTGCATGGTTAGCTTATAGAACGAGGAATATTCATAATAACTGCAAGCGCGTTTCTACTTTGTATGAGAGCGAAATTGTTTTGCGTGGTTAGCCTATAGAACAAGGAATATTCATAATAACTACTAGCGCGTTTCTACTTTGTGTGAGAGCGACATTGTTTTGCGTGGTTAGCCTATAGAACAAGGAATATTCATAATAACTATTAGCGCGTTTTTAGTTGGTGTAAAAGCGAACTTGTTTTGCATAGATGGCTTTTAGAACGAAGAATACACATGGCATGTTTGTATTTCGACCTCGCTTTATTCACCAATAGAACCATTGGAATGACATCATTTTCTGTTGGTACCAATCGAACCATTTTTACAAATGGACCATTGGAATTGACCTGTACCCAGCCAGGTCACATGCGAAAATAATCTAAGTCCCCTTAATGTGATGCATATTCACCAATAGAACCTTTGGAATGATGTGCTTTTCTATTGGTACCAATCGTACCATTGGTACCAATGGACCATCGGTTCGACGAATTGTATCCGTTTGTGTATATCGGACATGTGTGGAGGGGTACAACTTCCCTCCTTGTTGTCACAAAACAAGAATCAAGTCACCTTACAGGTGTTTCTCATAATTAAAAGGGTTTATCCAAGAGGGTTAGAACCCTTCATTGGTTTTATTTTCCACTGGATGCTGAGTTCTAAGAATTATCAATTCTAGTAACTTACTAGGCCACAAACCAATACCTTAAAAATGAAAAAGGAAAAATGACCACACCTAGGGCTAGATTATATGTTGTAACATAGTTACAGTGCAAACAAAGATCATTTCCCAACTTACATGACATCTCCTTCCTTTTTGCCTTTATCTTTACAAACAGTCTGAACAACAGGCTCACAAGCAGCATACAAAGTATGATCAATGCGGTAATCAGTACCAGCTCCAGTCTCTTCCAAGAGTGTTTCAATCTACCATTTCAGAGTGTAAAATAAGTCAATTCAACCAAAATATTAAAAAAGATCACACAACGATTGCCCCTTTTTTATTAGAAGTTACAACCAGTTGCAAAAACAATGAGACACTCCGATGAAAAACCGGCCTTTCTTTCTTCAAAGTGCTGCTTATCACATTTGTGAGGTACAATAGTCAACCCCTCCCTTCCCTCCATTTAAAGTTGTTCCTCCAAATTTTGGGCATGACCTTGTATTGCTAGCAACTTTGAAAAGGGGGACGAGGGGGGTCACCAGTACAAGATCATGGACAGGCAGTTTAAGCCAAAGTAAGATACACCAACTGAAGTATTATTGCAACTGGTGGTAAACAGGCTCCACAAGTCCATGCACGCACACTTAAAACCAAGATGTTTAAAGGTAGAGTCATGCAATAAACAGGATTATATTTAACAATTAATGAATGAGGCTGAGTATCTTATGAAGAATTATATGATACGAAAGCCGAATTCAATAATTGTTAAATTATTCATTCAAAATAATTCCTAGTTTAAAAACATGGCTAAAACATGCTTACCTCCATCGATTCATTGATGTTAAGTTCATCTTCAATAGTGCACGTTTAGGTTTGTCCAGCCCCGCAAATATTCTCCAAATAGCAGATGTCGCCCTTCGAGTTGTCTTCTTGCTGTTCTTGCCATGTTTTTAACTATTTTTTCGCCTAGTTCTTACTCTTGAAACAAGTGAAATGTCTGCCATTTTTCAAGTTCACAACCAAAACAACTCAACCTCGTCCCCCGGTCTTCTCGGTTAACGGTGCCTTAACCTGCGAAAACGCTGCATTTTTGACGTCATTTCCTCGTTAAACACAAAATTCTTCCAAATTTGGTCATCAGCATCTGGTTATGGTTAATTAAACGTGTTCTTTTAGCCAATCAGAATCGGGAAAATATGTGCTATAATTTGTTACTACGCCGTATTTAACTTCCTGTAACAATTCTCCTAAGTAATCCTTTAAAACCGTTCAGATAGAAGCTGTTTTTAACAGCAATTTCCAGTACAGTATCTTTTCCCATTTGTTTTCAACAACAGGTTCATAAATCTAAGGATTCAGTGTTTATCAGGCGGTTAATGGTAAAAATTACCGCGTGAAGCAACCACTCTTACCGCCTGTAACCGCTTAAAGGTTTACTAAAATTAAATAAGTAGTTTTTAAAAAATACGCAAATTGTGACCCGATCCAATCAAGGAAATGAAAAAATATATGGAAAAGTACTAAAGTAGACACAGCTTTTCCTTTAATGGCCCACGCACTTTGGAAGGAGAACATTGAAGACAGAGTCAAATTATTGGAATCAAACATTTTAGATGGTTGTCCAAAGATGATAACAGCCGATTTTGCATAAAATAGGTCTTAAAATGAGGGAATGAAGTTTCGAAGTACTCAGCTCCTCTTAGGGTGGGGCCATGTCCCTCACTCCACTACCCCCTCCCCCTCAGGAAAGTACCCCTCTCAGCTAATAAATTTTGGAGAGAACACTGTAACCTTATAAATTAATTTCTTCAGAAGTAAAAATAATCTGAATAAAACATTTAAGTTAAAATGCTTTAAAAAGTGCATACAGATACATGTATATGTTGTAGTTAATTTTTTATGTCAGGTAATTTTTATTTTTCTTCTGTTTCTGGGTATGATAATGTATGCTGATGAAGTTGAAACAAAAGAAAAATAAAAATTGACTGCTATAAAAAACTAACTACAACAGTTCAGGGTTCTCAATAGAAGGCGGCACCCGGCGATTGATCGCCGCTTACTTTGGGATTTATAGCCGCTTACTTTGTGTTTAAGTCGCTTTTCTTTGCTTTGTTTTGACACCTCTGGCTTTGCTGAAGAGCCTCCTACTTTACCAGTGATCACCTCCTACTTAAAAATCTATTGAGAACCCTGACAACATATACATCAATCAATAAAATTAATCATCATCTGCAAGATGCCAAACGCAAAAAATTACTAGAGAGTACATGAATATGTACCAAGCCAAAGGCTATAGTATAACCATTGGACACTGTTTTAGTATGAGTTGAAGACATAAATTGATTTACATTAACAATTACACTCTTATTCCTTATCACTTACATCCAATAAAAAGAGGCAATTTTAAACAATTACTTAAAAGACCATGGCTTATTTGATTTTCAATAAATGTATGAAGAACTGACCCAACCCCTCCTCCCCACCTAATCCTACCATTGATGAGATGCCACTCCTTTGGAACCCTACAACAGCATTGCAATATGTAAGAATATTTTCACTTGATCGTTGGCCTATGTTGTTGCATCTTATGACCCTCGTTTCTTTTCAACTGTGTCGTAAAAATTTGGGCAACTTGCGAGAATTTTTAGGGCAAACGGTTTACTGCCCCCACCTTGAGCATTGATAATGACCATGCCCATAATACAGCTGGGCAAGGAGAGAAAATGAAGTAACTTTTCTTGCAAAGTACATATAAATGACACAAAAAAATGGCCATGTTCTAAACTTCCACACCTTGTCTAACGTGTCAACCACCATTCATCTCCCACCCAGTAAATATAACTGACACCCAACATGGGCTTTCATTACTTAGGAGACAAGTGCTCTTTAGAGAAAATAAACAGTCAGAATGCTCGCACAAAATGGAGAATAGAAAACTATGTATGAATGACTATGACTTTGACGAATGACTATTTCGAATTTTATGCATTGAATTTAGTAATTTGCCTGCCTTGACATCATCTCAGTCAGTTTTTCCTTTCTCCATAGAGCAAGAGCCATCTGAAAGTAAGCTACAATGTAACATTTTAATAACACTATTTTCAATTGTTTAAAAATCATGTACTTATTGACTTACAGCCTCAACACATTCTGCTCTGATCACATTATTCTCGCCTTCATTTTCCTCAGCAAGGCTCATTAAACAATCGATGGTTTTTCCACCTTTCTCTCCTCCATTACGACAGTGACTCTCAATTTCCACATCACATTTAGCCACAATCTCAGGATTGATAAAGAAATCATCCATCAGTTGCTGCCTCAGATCAAACATTTCTGCCTGGCATTTACCACTCACTTTCTGATCTGAACATGGCAAAAAAGAAAATTATTATACACATTTATTAATCAACTAGATCACATGGTCCCACTGTGTATGTTTTACAGCTGTAGTTCTAAATCTTAACTATTGCAGCTTTTGATTGACTGAAATGAACATTCTAACAACTCTCTAATATTTCAGTTTCCAATATACCATTTTACAAAAACTAAGAAATTTCTCAAGTGCTGATTGGTCAACAGTTATGGCCGATAAGAGTACAATGGAAATGACGTGATGGTGGTACAATTTGGTGACAGCCAGAACACGACGCAGTTTGGGACGAAGAGAATGAAAAGGAAGATGCAGAGGAGGTTGTCGACAATGAATTTGAGACCAACAGCGAAGGCAAAGAAGAAGAATAAAAAGTACCAGCAGCAGTGGCTCTTTTTAGAGCCACCCTGGTTCTTTTCAGAACCTACAGGTACCTGGTTCTTTTCAGAACCACCAAGTCGAGTAAAGTCAATAACCAATACTCTAAGCTTTGAATTTATCTATTTTTTTAAATACCACTTTAAAGTAAGAAGATACGACATTCTTGCATTTCATTTCATGAAAATAGTTGGCTATAAGACACACCCCGATTTTGGACCAAGCAAAATTTGGTTTAAAAAATGCTGCGCCTTATAACCAAACAAAATATGGTAACATCTTAATTACCATCTTCTACAGCTTTCTCCAAGCACAGAAGAATGTTTGCCAAGGCTCCATGTTTTGTTTTGCCTCTCTCACACTCATATTTGTCTTTATACTGGCGGTAGAACTCTAGGCAGTTTTTCATCAGAGGATAGTTGGCCTTGTGGAAAGAGTAAAACAAAAACACAATGTCACTTCACTTCTCGGTGTCACTTCGTAAATATTATTATTAATGTCTACATCTCTTGAAGGATTTGTTAACTCTGGAAAGTGGCAATACCTAGATAATGCACAAAGCATAAATTATTAATTTATAAGATTGCTTGAGGGACAACTAACTTTGTTAAATTAAAAAGTTTAACTTTTCACCTGAGGAAGGTGAGAAATCTCAAGTTTCAAACTTATAATTTATTAACAAAAGGCAAATCTTCATAAAAATTGTTATTCATTACAATGTGTATAAAATTAATAATAAAATAATATGCAAAAGCTTACCTTGGGGTCTTTAGCCTCCAATTTCTGTCGCTCAGTTAACTTATCTCTACACTAAAAGAAAAAAGCAACATAACATACAGGATTGTTATTAAACAAGGCCCTTTTAGGGGGGAAAAGGGGTATGTACAGTGTATGTTCCTAAATTGAATTTTAAATATGGTTGTTTCGCATTTTGAGGAGTATATGTAGGCCATGTTCATGTCCGTATTTAAACAATCTTAACGTCAATTGTCACCATTTCATCTAGTCCTATGTTCCTGTTTAACCCTTTAAGTCCCAAAAGTGACCAACAGCAATTTTCTCCTAACAATGTCCATACATTGTCAAGAGATAAGGTTGTAAGAATATAAAAAATGATCACTAATTCTCTCAACTAATTCTTAAAGGAATTATAATGTATGGAGATCAGTTTGGAGAATTTGTATGTGGATATATACTGGGGCTTAAAGGGTTAAGGGCCTAATGTTGCTTGTCGGAATTTAACCCCAACAGGGCCTCACAAACTTAAGAGAAAAAGTGACAGCAAATACTATACAAATATATATTATATATACAAATACTACTTATTGCCATACTGTACATAAAACTCAGGAAATAACCACAAACTTTATGATGATTAATTAATGTAATAAGTTCATGAGAAACTTTAAGATAATAAGTTCATGAGAAAAAACCACCTACTGTGAACCAACAGTGTGTAGTTTATTCTTTTCAATGTGACTAATGTGTGATGCAAGTTATGTGGGTTATACACTGAGGCACTTACATCAGCACATGAGTGATTGAACAAAAGAATGTTTCTTCTTCCATTGGCAAACACAATAAGGACAAACACTCTACTGTCCCGAAAGATCTCGAAAAACAGTTCTCTGTCCTTAAGAAGTGCAATGACAAGTTTAATTGTTTAGTGCACGAAATGTTGCTAATTAGGGAATCAACATCTTCTTTACATGTTCAATCGGACTCAATTCGAGAAAAACTTTTTGCGTGACTTTTGCATATTTCATATATGCTAATCATCGCCAGGAAAAACCTTTTTGACAGTTTATCAGCAAGCATTTTGAACTTGGAAATGGTGTCAAGATGACACTGAAATTGTCATATCTTTCTTGCCTGCATTGTTTTTAACTTGTTTTTATAAAATAATTATGGCATTGCCAATGCAATGCACATTATAAAGTGTACATCTAAGTGATGCAATGAGCATGCAAGCACACAAAGTAAGATAATTTGTAGCCTACACAACTACCCACATCACACACATATATCTTCTATTTACTCTTCTGGCACACGGAAAAGGTCCCCTTTCTCCGTGCAACAATGAAAATAGGAAACATCTGCATGTAGGCCACCTACAAGTAACAACAATTAAGTCTTCATATAAATGCACTTCAGTGACAATGATGCATACTGTCATGTACAGTGTACAATTCACCAGTTTATATTTCATTATTCTTTGTTTTTGGACACCCAAGTTTGAACCAAAAGCAAACAAATTTTTTCAAACAAATGGTTATACTAGATACAACATGTACAATAATATTATTACAATGTATTGTACATGATAAGCGAATGAACATGTAATAAGACATTTATCAATTATTGAATTAAAACATACATACATAACATCAATGTTGAAGCAGTCAGTAAGTCAGAACAGTCGATCCTAACCTCGTCACTCATTGTTTCTTCATCCTTGTGTTTCTTCAAACACTTGTACACTCGTCCCTCCCCAGATGGAACCTGTTCACAGAATCTCTCCCTGTCATCTTTACAAGCATAAAACAGAGGACGATCTAAGTGATAGTCGTCTGATGACAGTTCAGCCAGTCTGTATATTTGCTTCTGACATTGCTGTGATAATTCTTCTTGGTGTTCTTCAAGGCATTCTAGTACTTCATTTTGAGAGTGGATATCCTGAGAAAGGAACAAAGATTTAAACTTAATTAGCATCAAGGTTTTAGCCAGACGGGTGTCCAGCTGTCCTATGGATACCAATTTTTGGAAGAAATTCAAGGAAAATTCACTTCATCTCTTATAATTTTATGGGAAAACATGCCTCCTGAATGGCCAGTTTTCAATATCTGGCTAAAAGCATGATTATCATACATCATACTGATAACAGGATCAATTACTGCATTGCCCTGCTTTAAATTCACAAAACATAAACTCCTTTATAACTGGAAAATAAGAAAAGATAGATCAGCTACAAAAAATGTTTTTTTGATATAATTTTATATAATTCTTCTTCATGATAAGTTATTATTTTCTCTTCATTTCTCTTCATAATAAATAATAATTGTCTCCATATTAAACCGCTTTTTCTTTCCTGACAATAATTATTAGTACTATGGTGAATAAGGCGAACCAAGTCCTTGGGCTAATAAGACGGTCTGTTGGAACAGCTAATACAACAACTTTTTCATTGCTTTACAAAACATTGGTCAGACCACTTCTAGAGTATGCTGCTCCAGTCTGGAACCCATATCTTGTCAAAGATATTCATGCAATAGAGAGCGTGCAAAGACGCGCGTCAAGATTAGCTCTTAGGCAAAAAAGAGGTGATATGTCTTATGAAGAGCATTGTGACATGTTACATTGGCCATCTTTGTCCAGTTGTAGGACATATTCCTCTCTTGTTGAATGTTATAAGATCGTGTTTGGCTTATCACACTTGGATTTTGAGGAATTCTTTCAATTCGCAAAAGTCAAATCCACTAGGGCAAATCACTCGTATAAGCTTTATTGTAAATTATCTAGAATCAACTGTTTTAAATATTCTTTTTTTAACAATGTAATTAGTTATTGGAACAATTTACCTAGTAATGTTGTTGAAGCCGGTACCCTTGAACTTTTTAAATGTAAACTCAAATCCTTTTTAAAGTTGTAATTTTTATTGTTTGTTTGTTGTTTTTAGGAGAGTTTTATTCATAGGGTTAACCTCTAGACTCTCCCTTTCAAATTTATGTGGTTATATATGAGTTTGAATAAACATGTATGTTATGTTATGTTATTATTTTAATCAGGTGTCACAATGTACCACGTATGTGTTATGTTCAATTATATTCCAGGTTTAAAATAATTATCCTTTCTTTCAAACTCATTATCAGAAAAAAATATCAAAAACAAAATAAAACAAAATTCAGTCCAACAGTGGAATTGAACCACAACATAAACGCAAGACAATCATTAGCCTGCACCACAGACAGAACTAAACTTCTGGTTAATTCCATCTTTGAAAAAGCACTGAAATGGCCCCCATCTGTTTACCAGGATTTGAGTAATGCTCCATGATTTGACTTTTCAAAAAGCTATTGTCAAATTGCAATCAGGATTAAGGGAAATTTGAAATGCAATAATTATCTCATTGAGTGCATTGGCAGTCCAGAACAAGGACATTGGCACCGTGCTTCCCAGACAATACTAACCAGGATTTTTTACTTTCGATCCATAACGCATGCTAGACAATAATAAAAACAAACCTCTTCATCTTCTTCTTCTGTTTGAAGTCGGCCACAAGAAAATTTATGCACATCTTTGGAACAATCATCTAAGAAGTTCTCAATAAGACGATAATCACTGAAAAAAATGGCTTGCATTCTTGTCATCATATGCTTGCAGGAGGGTACAGTTAAATTCCGACGATGCTCAAGTAAACATGGGATAATCTTTCCTTGCACTGCACATTCAGGGAGCTTA